GATATTGTAATGTGTATTTTGATATTTTATTGTAATTGTATATTTTGATATTTCCAACCATAAAAACCATGTTTTTATGGTTGGAAACCGGGCCGAGTCCCTCAAAAGAGGTGAGAAGCTCGGTATATAAAACTTTGAAATAAATAAAATAAATAAATTCTCTGGAAGGCCGATCCCCGGACTTGATAAGCCTAAGGACATTAAAACTCCATAATCCACTCCAGAATGCATTGTCTCCCTTCATCCCGCCTCCCTCCCTTCTGATTCACTGGAGCATCAAGGCAGCAGGAGCCCTGTGATTGGTCCTGATGCATGGGGGATGGGCAAGCCTCCTCCCAGCTGTTTGTGCGTCAGCCAATCCCCTTCGAGCTGGGCGGGAGGGGGGAGTGGGAATTTAGAAACTCACAACTCTGTATTTTCTATAAAAATGGCCTTTACTTCTGTAACCACATGCTCTGCTTGGCGAATGATTGCCGCTCTGCATCCTTTTCAGCTGAATCGCAAATAAAACATCTCGGTGGCACTTCCTTCCACTTGGTGAGACCTTTTATTGGGAAAAATCAGGGATTGGGTGCTTCTCTCTGACTTACCAGGGTAACGAACTCTTTAAGGATTCTGATTGGTCTCTGCCTCCTGGCAAAGACCCCTAAATTCCAGCTCTATAACAAAAAGATGGGAGAAGTGTGTGTCCCTGGGTAGCACCCATGGAGAGAAGGACTCAGAACTGGGCCAAGTTACATTGCTCTCCGTCCACAGGAAGTGGGTCAAGGGAACTCTTTCATGAACGCCCCTCGTATGTAAGTTGTAATAGGGACATTTTAAAGTGTGGATAGCCTAGGGAAGGGTGAACACCCCTAGACTTGGGTAACAACGGAAAAATTTGTTTCTAAACTCGTTTTGTTTTTAGGAGTCCATCGTGTTTCGTTTTTTTAAAGAATTCTGAAATTTTCCTTTTAAAAATTTCGAAATTTACGAAATTTCCTGTAATTACGAATCGATTCGTTAATGGCGGACGCGATTGCGCAATATGCTAAAAAAACCTCCAAATGGGACAGGGGGAACTTCTGAAGCTTCCCTCTCCCTCTGTTGTTGACTGTTGGTGTGATAAAACAAACAACTATAAAACTTGCACCAGACATGCGAAAATAATTACGAAATAATTACAAAATAATTACGAAATAATTACGAAATAATTACGAAATAATTATGAAATAAATTGAAAAAATTGTTTCGAATCTAATTTACTCCACACACTATTCCTGCATGGCTCAATATTGGATCGTAAGCTAATTTAAATACAAAATAATTACAAAATAATTACAAAATAATTACAAAATAATTACGAAATAAATTGAAAAAATTGTTTCGAATCTAATTTACTCCTCACACTATTCCTGCATGGCTCAATATTGGATCGTAAGCTAATTTAAATACGAATTAATAACGAATTACGAAATTAACGAACGAAACCGCCCAAGCCTACTAAGGACATTAAAACTCCATAATCCACTCCAGAATGCATTGTCTCCCTTCATCCCGCCTCCCTCCCTTCTGATTCGCTGGAGCGTCAAGGCAGCAGGAGCCCTGTGATTGGTCCTGATGCATGGGGGACGGCCAAGCCTCCTCCCAGCTGTTTGTGTGTCAGCCAATCCCCTTCGAGCTGGGCGGGAGGGGGGAGTGGGAATTTTGAAACTCACAACTCTGTATTTTCTATAAAAATGGCCTTTACTTCTGTAACCACATGCTCTGCTTGGCGAATGATTGCCGCTCTGCATCCTTTTCAGCTGAATCGCAAATAAAACATCTCGGTGGCACTTCCTTCCACTTGGTGAGACCTTTTATTGGGAAAAATCAGGGATTGGGTGCTTCTCTCTGACTTACCAGGGTAACGAACTCTTTAAGGATTCTGATTGGTCTCTGCCTCCTGGCAAAGACCCCTAAATTCCAGCTCTATAACAAAAAGATGGGAGAAGTGTGTGTCCCTGGGTAGCACCCATGGAGAGAAGGACTCAGAACTGGGCCAAGTTACATTGCTCTCCGTCCACAGGAAGTGGGTCAAGGGAACTCTTTCATGAACGCCCCTCGTATGTAAGTTGTAATAGGGACATTTTAAAGTGTGGATAGCCTAGGGAAGGGTGAACACTCCTGTGTATATATATTAATTAATCTTTTCCGTGTAAAACAAGCTGTTGGGGCCAACTCCCTGTGGTCAAGAAATGGCCGTTGCCTCGGTGGCTCTTATCGACTCCCCTCGGAGAACAGAGGATAAAATATTGTTTTATGGATTGGGAGATGTACTGAGAATGAGCTAATAATGGACCCTCCTGATCAATGCTTCTCTCTAATGGACTTAGGAGTGGACTGCAAATCACCCGTCCCCTTTGGGCCACGGACCACAGGCCAAGCTTAGCCGCTCCTGCGTTGCACATTTTGTTGTCGTTCTACGCCTTTGATTCAATTCCAACCCGTGGCAATCCGATCATTCAGTTTTTCTCTGCAAGGTTGTTTGTCATTGCCTTCCTCTTTAGCTAAGAATATGGCACAGTCCCTTTCTCAGGAGGCTTTTCAGCAGAGGCTAGATGGCCATCTGTTGGGAGGGCTTTGATGGTGTCTTCCTACCTGGCAGAGCAGGGTTGAACTGGATGGCCCTTGGGGTCTCTTCCAATTCTTGGATTCTCTGAGGCCAAAAGCTGCTCTGTTTATCAAAATTAGTAAGAAAGTAAATGAACAAACGAGTCATAATAATAAGGCTTTGGGGACAAGTGAATGTTAGTGTTTATTGTTAGAACTCAATCCTAGAGTTGGAAGAGACCTCATGGGCCATCCAATCCAACCCCATTCTGCCAAGAAGCTGGAAAATCACATTCAAAACACCCTCAACAGATGGCCATCCAGCCTCTGTTTGAAAGCTTCCAAAGAAGGAGCCTCCATCACAATCTGTGGCAGAGAGTTCCACTGCTGAACGGCTCTCACAGTCAGGATCATAGAATCAAAGAGTTGGAAGAGACCTCATGGGCCATCCTGTCCAACCCCATACTGCCAAGAAGCAGGAAAATTGCATTCAAAGCACCCCTGACAGATGGCCATCCAGCCTCTGTTTAAAAGCTTCCAAAGAAGGAGCCTCTACCACACTCCAGGGCAGGGAGTTCCACTGCTAAACAGCTCTCACAGTCAGGAAGTTCTTCCTAATGTTCAGATGGAATCTCCTTTCTTGTAGTTTGAAGCCATTGGTCCTAGTCCCCAGGGCAGCAGAAAACAAGCTCCCTCCCTATGACTTCCCCTCACATATTTATACATGGTTATCATGTCTCCATGGAGCCCCCGGTGGCACAGTGGGTTAAAGCACTGAGCTGCTGAGCTTGTTGATCGAAAGGTCGCAGGTTCGATTCTGGGGAGCGGCGTGAGCTTCCCTGTCAGCCCTAGCTTCTTCCAACCTAGCAGGTCGAAAACATGCAAATGTGAGTAGATCAATAGGTACCGCTCCGGCGGGAAGGTAACGGCGCTCCACGCAGTCATGCCGGCCACATGACCTTGGAGGTGTCTACGGACAATGCTGGCTCTTCGGCTTAGAAATGGAGATGAGCACCACACCCCAGAGTCAGACATGACTGGACTTAATGTCAGGGGACTACCTTTACCCTATCATGTCTCCTCTCAGCCTTCTCTTCTTCAGGCTAAACATGCCCTGCTCCTTAAGTCGCTCCTCATAGGGCTTGTTCTCCAGACCCTTGATCACTGTACTGGTTTATGCCAGAGCCTTTTGCGGTTCGATTTTGAGGTCTTTTATTATTATTGTTGTTGTTGTTGTTGTTGTTGTTCTCCAGACCCTTGATCATTTTAGTCGTCCTCCTCTATTGCCAGTACTTACTTACTTACTTAGCCAATCCCTCGTTGTCCGAGTAGGATTGTCTTCCAAGATGGTGATGCAGTCCTATTTCTTGACCCGCATCTTCTCCCACATTGAGGGCATTGGTTTCCAGGTGGAAGGCGGTCCCTGTCAGGGTTGGCTTGATGCGCCTTCTTCTTGGCACGTTTCTCTCTTTCGCCCTCCATTCGTACCTCTTCAAATTCTACAGCACTGCTAGTCACACCTGACCTCCAGCTGGAGCGCTCAAGGGCCAGGGCTTGCCAGTTCTCGGTGTCTATGACAGAGTTTTTAAGGTTGGCTTTGAGCCCATCTTTCAATTTCTTTTCCTGTCCACCAACATTCCATTTTCCGTTCTTAAGGTCGGAGTAGAGCAACTGCTTTGGGAGACTGTGGTCAGGTATCTGGACAACATGGCCAGTCCAGTGGAGTTGATGGCAGAGGACCATCACTTCAATGCTGGTGTCTTTGTTTCCTCCAGCACACTGACATTTGTCCGCTTGTCTTCCCAAGAGATTTGCAGGATTTTCTGGAGGCAGCACTGATAGAATCGTTCCAGGAGTTGGGTGTGACGTCTGTAGACAGTCCACGTCTCGCAGGCATTTTACAGGATTGGGAGGACAATAGCTTTATAAACAAGCCCCTTGGTATCCCTACGGATGTCCTGGTCCTCAAACACTCTCTGCTTCATTCGGAAAAATGCTGCACTTGCAGAACTCAGGCGGTGTTGTACTTCAGTGTCAATTTTGACATCTGTAGACTGTCCACGTCTCGCAAGCGTATAGCAGGGTCGGGAGGATAACAGCTTTATAAACAAGCCCCTTGGTCTCCCTACGGATGTCCCGGTCCTCAAACATTCTCTGCTTCATTTGAAAAAATGCTGCACTCGCAGAGCTCAGGCGGTGTTGTATTTCGGTGTCGATGTTGACTTTTGTGGAGAGGTGCCTGCCAAGGTAGCAGAAATGATCAACATTTTCTAATGTTCCACCATTAAGCTGTATTTCTGGCATTGGAGAGGGATTGGCTGGTGACTGCTGGAACAGCACGTTGGTTTTCTCGATGATTGCATCGAGAAAATGTTAATGATTGCATTAACAATGTGAGTGTTATTAAATCTTCCTCTCTTTTTTTGTAGTGGACGGGTGCATCCATCGAGCCGCAGGGCCTTTGCTGAAAGAGGAGTGCCGGGCCTTGAACGGCTGTGAGACTGGCAAGGCCAAGATCAGCTGCGGGTACCGTCTGCCAGCCAAATGTAAGTTCTAGCCCATCATGGGCACACACCAACGTCAATAGAGCACGGATTTGAAATGCAGAGTTGGGTCACTTTATATCCTAGAGCAGCGGTTCTCAACCTGGGGGTTGCGACCCCCAGAGGGGTCATTTGGCAATTCTCGAGGGGTTGCGGCCCTGCCTCCTCAGACCCCACCTCCTTGTGCAGGCCCCATGTGTCATCCTCAGGGTGCTAAAAAGGCCCCGAGAGGCCTAGGACTTCTCCTGGTATTGGCAAGGAGCAGCCGTGGCTCCTGGCAGTGGGAGGGAGCCCAGTGGACTTATTTATTTATTTATTTATTTATTTATTTATTTATTTATTTACTTTGCTTATATACTGCTGTTCTCAGCCCGGGGGCGACTCACAGCGGTGTACAACATAGGAAGAACAAAATTCAAAACACAGTAAAAAACCATCCACAATCCATTATACAAAAACATTATACAAAAAGCATTATACAAAACATTGTCATTACTACGAAAACCATTCAGCGTCGTCTCATCGTCCAAACCACAATCTATATCATTTTCCGTTGTTCCATTCCTATAGTCATTACCAATCATTGCACTTCTTGTTCGAACGCCTTCTTGAACAACCAAGTCTTTAATTTCCTGCGGAATATCATCAGGGAAGGAGCCAGTCTAATGTCCACGGGAAGGGTGTTCCACAGCCGAGGAGCCACCACCGAGAAGGCCCTATCTCTCGTCCCCGCCAGCCGTGCTTGTGAAGCAGGCGGGATCGAGAGCAGGGCCTCCCCGGAAGATCTCAAAGTCCTGGTGGGCTCGTAGGTCGAGATGCGGTCGGATAGGTATCTTGGGCCAGAACCGTTTAAGGCTTTATAGGCCAACGGCAGCACCTTGAATTGAGCCCGGTAGCAAATCGGCAGCCAGTGGAGCTGGTACAACAGGGGGTTGTATGCTCCCTGCGTCCCGCTCCTGTTAGTATCATGGCTGCCGCACGTTGGACAATTGAAGCTTCCGGGCCGTCTTCAAAGGCAACCCCACGTAGAGAGCGTTGCAGTAGTCTAAACGGGATGTAACGAGAGCGTGGACTACCGTGGCCAAGTCAGACTTCCCAAGGTACGGGCGCAGCTGGCGCACGAGCCTTAGCTGTGCAAATGCTCCCCGGTCACCGCCAAGACCTGGGGCTCCAGGCTCAGCGATGAGTCCAGGATCACACCCAAGCTGCGAACCTGCGACTTGTACATTTCAGAGCTAAAGTGATTGAAGGTACTGCAAATCGCATCATCTGTTGTATATCCTCCCTCAAACCCCTCCAGTATTTTCTGTTGATCATGGAAGTCCTCTTTGCCAAGTTTGGTTCAATTCCATTGCTGGTGAAGTTTGATCGAAGGGAAACTATAAATCCACACAACCGCAAATGCTAGGGTCTATTTTCTCCAAACTCCACCAGTGTTCAAATTTGGGAACATTGAGTATTTGTGCCAAATTTGGTCCAGATCCATAGCTGTTTGGGTTCATGTTGTTGTTCATTCGTTCAGTCGTCTCCGACTCTTTGTGACCTCATGGACCAGCCCACGCCAGAGCTCCCTGTCGGCCGTCACCACCCCCAGCTCCTTCAAGGACAGTCCAGTCACTTCAAGGATGCCATCCATCCATCTTGCCCTTGGTCGGCCCCTCTTCCTTTTGCCTTCCACTTTCCCCAGCATCATTGTCTTCTCTAGGCTTTCCTGTCTCCTCATGATGTGGCCAAAGTACTTCAACTTTGTCTCTGTTGTATATCCTCCCTCAAGCCCCTCCAGTATTTTCTGTTGATCATGGGAGTCCTCTTTGCCAAGTTTGGTTCAATTCCATTGCTGGTGAAGTTTGATAGAAGGGTAACTATAAATCCACACAACTGCAACTCCCAAATATTAGGGTCTATTTTCTCCAAACTCCACCAGTATTCAATGTTGGGAACATTGAGTATTTGTGACAAATTTGGTCCAGATTCATAGCTGTTTGGGTTCACAGTGCTCTTCAGATGTAGGTAAACTACATCTCTCATAAATCACTGTCAATTCCTCCCAACCCCCTCTAGTATTTTCTTTTGGTAATGTGGGTTCTGTGTGTCGAGTTTGGTCCATGTATGTTATTTGTGGGGGTCTCAGTGGTCTGTGGAAGTCGGAGCTGAGTCACTTGAAGGTATTGCAGATCCCATCATCCAGTGTCCATACTCTCCCAAACATAATATTTGTGATTCATCACTATGCATTAATAATGGTCAATTTGTAATGAAAATACATCCTGCATCTATATAAATAAAAATGTAATGTTCGTTTGTGGTATTCACAGAACTTAAAAACCTCTGGGGCAATTGGCACCAAATTTGGACACAATACACCTAACAACCCAATGTATGTTCTCCACTCAAAAAAACCCATAAAAATAAAAAGCAGAAAGGACTTCTGAACTGCATGTCCACAAAGGAGAAACTGCATGTCTACAAAGAGACCCATGGCCACGCCCCCTCCTCCTCACGGGGAAACAGCCGGCCATTAAAGCATGAGGAGCCAGGCGCGCGTGCATGCCCCCCCCCCACACACACACATTTTTACTCATACAAATGGTAGATAAAGAGAGTGGGCAACATGGGAGTGGAGGGAGAGGCTTGCCGCATGGAGCCCCTTCTCTTTCCTTGCTATGCCAGGAGGGCAGTCTCCTCCTCCTCCACCTTTCCCTGTTGGAAGAGGCCGGCGGGTGGGGGAGGGATTTTCTGTAGACCCTTCTTTCTTTTTTTAACTCTTTCCTTTCTATCTGACCTGCTCGCCTGTCTCTGGCAACACGAGCACACATTTCACACACACACACACAGGAGGTAGCTGCCTCTGCCACACTCCACCTGAAAGGACTCCCTTCCCTGCTTTTCTCCCTCCCTTTCTTTCCTTATCTTCCTTCCTTCCCCTTCCTTTCCTCCCCTCCTCCTTCCTTCCTGTCTCTCCCTCCTTCCTTCTCCTTCCTTTCCTTCTTTCCCTCCTTCCCTTCCTTCCTGTCCCTCCTTTCTTCTTCCTTTCCTTCCTTTCCTTCTTTTCCTTCTTCCCTCCCTTCCTTTCCTCCTTCTTTCCCTTTCTTCATTTCCTTCCCCTTCATTTCCTTCCCTCCCTCCTTTCTTTCCCTCCTTCCTTTCCTTCCTTCTTTCTTTCTTTCCTTCCTGTCCCTCCTTTCTTTTCCTTCCCTTCTTTCCCTTCTTTCCCTCCTTCCTTCTTCCTTCCCTTCTTTCTATGTAAGTTATAAATACAATATTGTTATATAGATTACTATATAATATATTACTATATATATTATTATTGTTACTATATAATACAAATTAAATGGGACAGTCAAGAAGTAACGAGGGGAAGAGGGGAAGGAAGGAGGGAAAGAAGGAGGGAAGGAAGGAGACAAGGAGGGAGGGAAAGAAGAATGGAGAGAAAGAAAGAAGCAAGGAAGGAGAGAAGGAAATAAAAAAGTGAAAGGAAAAGAGAGGGAAAGAAGGAGAGAAGGAACGAAAGATAGGGAAGGAAGGAAGGAGAGAAAGAAAGAGAAGCAAGGAAGGAGGGAAGGAAATAAAAAAAGTGAAAGGAAAAGAGAGGGAAGGAAGGAGAGAAACGAATATAGGGCAAGGATGAGGCAGAAGAGATAAGTACAAACGACATTGCGAATTCCTTATAGACATCTGAAGTGAAGGAATGAGAGTAATGACAGTACAGTAAGTCAGACTTTATGAATGTATTAGTGGAGAAGAATTATTTGTGAACATGAAGAAAAGGCAATAATTAAAGAAAATAGAGAATTCAATGATAGCAGAAGGAAGGAAGAAAAAGGAAGGAAAGAGGAAAGAAAGGAAGGAAGGGAAGGAAGGAAGGAAGAAGAAGAGAAGGAAGGAAGGAAGGAAGGAAAGAAAGAAAGAGGGAGGAAAGAAGAAAGAAAGAAAGAAAGAAAGAAAGAAAGAAAGAAAAAGAGGGAAGGAAAGAGAAAGAGGAAAAAGGGAGAAGAAAGAGGAAGGAAGGAAGAGAGAAGATAGGAAGGAATGAATGAAAAGAAGGAAGGAAGGAAGTAAAGTAGAAGGAAGAAGGAGGAAGAAGGCTTCAATAGCTTGAGAAGCCATATGTAAGAACATGTTTAGATGGAAGAAAGAAGAGAAATAGGAAGGGAAAGAAATAGGGGAAGGGAAGGAAGGGAAGAAAGAGGGGGGGGGGAGTTTGGCCACAGCAACACGCGGCGGGTACAACTAGTATCAGATATTTACATTATGATTCATAATAGTATCAGTTATGAAGTAGCAATGAAAATATGGTTGGGGGTTACCACAACATGAGGAACTGGATTTCGGGGTCACGGCATTAGAAAGGTTGAGAACCACTGTCCTAGAGGGACACCCAGTCCACATTGGCGCCTGTCTGTGGTTTCACAGATTCGCAAGAAATACAGGGAGCCGGCAATCGTCTCGGGCTCTTGAAACATTTTACAATTGGCATTCTCTCTGCTCAAAAGCAGCCCTCCTTAATAAAAAATAATTAAGGCAAATGAGGCAATGGCAGATTAATCAAAGTCCCGCAAATACAGCTCTTAGCTCATCAAGGGCTAAGTGAGCAAACAGAGAATGGCTTACTTCACGAGAGACACGGGGAGGTCTAAATGAATATATAGCGGGATGGGTGAAAGGCACACTGCGACTGGCTTTGCTTCCTGTTTGCGTGGATTCTCAAATGCGGTAATAATTCACATTTTCTGGGTACGACAAAGGAGCTTTATTCTGCTCTCTAGAAAACACACACACACACATATATTCACAATGTCTCCATGGCATCATAGCCCTTTTTGCGGCTGTTTTTTCCCTTCTATCCATCCTTCCTTCCTTCCTTCCACTCATCCACATGTTACCTTCCTTTTCCAGTGACATCACAGAGGGACACTTCACCTAGCAGCAGCCAACCCAGTGGCATCAGAGAGGGCCACTTCTCTAAGCAATGGCCTTTGTGGTTCAGACAGACATACTTTGAC